ACTCATTCAGTTTCCCTTTCTACTTTGTGTCCACTGATTTTTCACACTAAAAAGCCATTCTCAGAGGTTCTGGGCAACGGTGCAGACTGGCAGAGGCAGCAGAGCAGCCAGCTCGGTCGGCCCCTGATCTCACTGAAGTCTGTAACCCTAAGGGGGGCCAGGAGAAGGGTCGCGCGTGACCCCCAGCCATGCAGGAGGTGCTGTGCTTCCTCGGAGCTCCTCGATAAGCAGATCTATTTCCCACTAGGCTGCCAGACCTGTGATGTGAGATGCGTGTGTCTCCCCTTCGTTATTCCACAGCACTCGACCTAACAGCAGTTTCTCAATATGCAGGCTGAATAAATAAACAAAAGTTCTAAGCTAGCCATTGCTCAGTCGGATGACACCGCGGCAGAAAAGACTTGGCATAGGATGTGTTTCTGCGCGGCCCAGCTGACAGACAAATATTGCTGGCATACACTCGAGATGCACACGGACTTCCCCAAAGAGTGGGTTTCACTGACTGTTCTGCACCTGACGTGCTCAGGGCTCGCCAGACAGGCGGCTCTGCTCCCAGTGACAAACCCACTGTCATAACCGGTTCCTGCGAACCAAAGTCTACAGCGATCTCACAACTGAGCCACAGTGGAGCAGATTGCGTAGTGCGGCCCCCTGTGCTGGGAAACTCCGTTCTGTGCTGCCCCCGCCCTTAGGTAGGGGAAGTTTTTTTAAGCGGGGGGATCGACTAAGACATGTGTAGTACAGGTGTGAAGGTCAGGAGAACACACATGATCGACGTATGTTGGAGTTCCTTGAATAGCAGAGGGGAGAGGGAGGTGGTAGCAGGGTTTAATCAGCCACCATATCATGCATGGCAAAGGTTCAGTGACAGTGGGTCATGGATTGAAGACACACAGAGGACTGGAGAATCACAAATAAGGTTGCGTTTAATAAAATTTAAGAGTAGGGAAAGCTTTGCAGCAGAAGAGTTTCTAAATCGAAACATGAACGCATTAAAATACTGAGGAAGTAGACCTTGCAAACAGAAGGAAGGCATGAAGGAAGGACCGGGGTACAAAGAAATATGGGAAAGAGAAGGTTGTATGCTGCACTGAAAGAACAGAGACCACTGTTGCTAAAGCTTTGAGTGTGTGAGTGTGTGTATCTGTGCTTTTGTGTACCTGCGAGTGTGTGCACGTATGCCAGCGTGGGTATGAATGTGTAAACATGAGCAGATATGCTATGAAAGATACACATTTTTCTAAGAATTTTGACATAATTTATTTCAATAGTAACAGGCTTGTGAGGTTCTAAATCAAAGGCAAAAACAGTATGATCTGATTTATTTTTGGGGTGAGCAGAAAAGGCATCCGTATTTCCGAATTCTTACAGTGCTTTAGGCTACCTTTTGTCTAGATAAAACCTCTGGGGTTTAAAGGTAATTATTAGGGAAGGCACCAGTAATTGATGTCACCAGGAGCTTTTGAAAATAATCCAGCCCTCTGAAGGGGTAAATGCACCCTTAATAAGAGAAGGCCACTGCACTCGCTGGGTTGCCTCCGATGCTTTTGAACAGATTAAGGTTCTCACAGAGAAAATTAGCTCTGGTGCAGAAAGGACACTGTTTTTCCTTCGGGGCACTGGATGAGGCTGTGTGCTTACCTTTTCCCTACAGAGCCAGCAGACGGTGAGAAACACCACTGAGCCCCCTCCCCTTCACTAATGGCCGAGTCATCGTAAGCTGAGCCGAAACAAAAGGAACAACGAACTGGTGGACACATGAGGGGCATGAAGAGAGGCCTTGTATCCAGGGTCGTGTGTGGAAGTAGGAAGGAGGAAGTAGGGAAGACATGGGCAGGTTCCCAAGGTCCAGACAGAGATTCAAGGAGGGAAACTGGCCAGGGAGGTGGAGAGGATGTTTGTTAAGAGGCGATATGACCTCCACGTGAGACTTCTCCCAGGTCTGGGACAGCAGCTCATGAATGGGAGATCCACACACCATGGCATAATCCATAATTTCTTTTGGAGATTCACAATTCCATACTGCTTTGCAGACAGTTGAACTCTGCAGGAAAGAACAGCTTACACATTCTTTGTGGTTTAGTAGCTATTTGCCTTGGAGGAAGAAGGTGAGAAACCATCAGCATCCATGACAGGGTAAATCCACCCCTCTCCAAAGTTGTCGCATGGTCCTGGGTTGTGCCCGAGTGATGCCATCCTGGGTATTAGTAAGCGCTGACTGGTTAGTTTTCCATCTGCAGAACTACAAGGATACCCCAGACTTTTTGGTCCTCTTGGTGAAACTTGTTGTGTGTGCCAAACGGGAGAAACGAGGGCTCTCCCTGATGGCTCAGAAAAATCATCCTTGCTAGGAGAGCAGAGCGGATTAGATGGGTGAAATCGGGAAGGCAGGGGAAGCCGTGGAAATGGCTGCAGCCCTGAAAGAGAGAGCAAATGTCAGCTCAAGTGAAGGAGAGACAGAGAGCTCAGGAAAACAACACATCTCACGATGTAGTGAAGTCAGAACACATTCTCATTCACAGATTCAGGCACAAGATACAGAATGGAAAATAAGGTAGCATCACACTCCTTTTGGCTTGAAGGACTGGTGCATTTAGGAATCCTTAACTGGGCGAGAGAACACGAAGTGCAGGTACAGAGGTGGACAGCGAGGTTTCACGTTCACTTTGTCTTATACAGGCTGGTGCATCTCTTTGTTTATTTTTTTACCCATTGTTTCATCCTGTAAAAACGTTGAGTGATTCAGAAAACGTGACTGAAGATGAAATTGCAGGGGGTGGCGGGGGGGGGGGGCGGGGGGTTGGCGGTCAGCATTCAGTGGTAGAATCCTGGACGGCAGTGAGTTGGGGAAGACCAAGGGCAGCCGGGGAAGAGAAACAGGCTGAGGAACTTGGGAAATGGCCTTGGGACAGGTAGGTGGCAGTGGGGCAGGACCTAGGACAGAAAAATAAGGGCAAATTAATACAAAGAACAGCAAAGGCACTAGAAAGGGTGATGCTAAATAATCTAATAAAGGAGCAGGTGCAGTCGTGCACACAGGTTTAGACGGTGGGGGGAAATTGTAAGTATGCTTTCCAGTAAATGGCACAGTCAGGATGGAATTCAGGTGACAAGAATAAGGAAAAAAATAAAGAAGTAAAACAGGTTCTAAATATGAATTCTAAAAGAAAGGAATGTTACAGGGAAAGAGCTCAGGAGAAAGGCAAGTAACTGTGTGTGAGAAGGCTTTTGTGTGCGTGTGTGTGTGTGTGTGTGGCCATGGGAGCGAAAGTGAGGTTGTGACTGTGTTTCTGTATGAGCATAATCTGTGTTTTGGTGGTAGTGCATATATTTTTGTGCTTTTGTGTATGTGTTCTTGAGAGTATGTAAAACATGTTGTGTGTGAGAGAATGTATTTTTGTTAAATTAAAACTAAAATTCCAATTGTGACCCAGTTAGGATTCCAGTTGTTTATGTAATGGGCTGGTCAGCACTCTAGGGTCCACTGTATGCCTGAGTGAGCGTGCCTCTGCGTGCTCCTCTGCATATAAATGCATGTGTGTATGTGGTGTACATCTGGGTTTCTCTGTGTGTTATGCATGGGGCTTGAGTTGTGTTTCTGTGTGGGTTAATTTTTACGTGCTTGTCTGTCAGTGTGTGCATGTGTCTGTATTCATCTTTGTGTGTATTTTGCATTTGTAGCATTTTGCCTATTTTGTGTAAGTGCGTTAGAGGGTTGTGATGCTCTGACTGTGTGTGATGTTATGGCGGGGTGTGTTTGAGTGTGTGCATGTGTGTGGATGTGTAGCACATTAGTTATTTAGGCGAGTGCATGTTTGTTTCTAAATCTAAACTAATGTGAGTGAATGCACATGTGTGAAGTCTGCACGGGAGGATAATAAGCCCCATGTCTGTTCATGTGTGTGAAGGTCTGTCTGTGTGTGGACACGCACATGCGTGTGTATCAGTGCTTAAATGTGTGACGCTGTTCTTACGTGTGTTTATGAGCAAAGCCCCATGTGTGTGAATGTGCTGTGTGTGAGTGTCTCTGCGAGTGCTGCATTCTGCCTGTCTGTGGAAATGTACACACGTGCGTGTTTGTGAGTGCACCTGTGTCAGGTGCGTGTTCGTCAGCACCTGTGACCTGTGTGAGCTTGTAGGCGTTTGTGTGTGCTTGTGTGTGTGAGTCTGTGTGTAGTGTGTGTGTTTCTTATATGTGTGTAAATGGGTGCAGATGTGCCCTTTATTTCTGCTTGCAGGTGTGTCTGTGCATATAGTCTTGTGTGCGTGTGTGTGTGTGTCCGTGTGGCTGATCTTGGAATGCGCTCTCTCTGTTAGAGAATAGAGGTGGCCGGTGAAAAGGGATGGCCGCGTTGTCCTTTCTTTTTTCCTTTTTTTTAAATGACAGTATGGATTGAGCCCCGAGCCTTCGCTCTGTTACAAATGCAGCCTGCTCTGTATTCTAAAACAAGGAATCAGTAAGCTGCTATGTTATCCAGAGTGATATGAACTTGCGATCCTCCGCCTCGGGCTCTCGGGGGGCACCACGCAACCAGCTGGAGGTCTGTTGCGTTCTACGTGTGTCTGCAGCAACGTAGAAATGAGCTCCGGGAATTTCTGTAAACCAAGATGTGTGGAATTAAAAGAAGTGTGGTAGTAACGCCTTTCGGCCACAAGAGGGAGCCTCTGCCTCATTTATCGCATCCGATCGTCATTTCAAGTCTTACTGTCCCGAACGAAAACCGAAGTCGTTGGTCACCGCCGGAGTCCGTGGCAATTCTCATTTCTCCGCCATTCCCCCTACCCTTTCGCACATCTCTTAGATCTAAGCGAGCTGCGGCAGCTGCGCTCGCTGGATAGAGCTGGATACGACGCGTTTGAGCTGCGCGCGCCCGGCCCTGCAACAGGCTGCATGCGCTCCGAGCCGCCACGGCCAGCCGCTCCGCTGCC